CACCCCAAATCAAATTCCAAGCCTTACAGTTGGAGAATGCAAGCACCCACACGTGACGCCATTAGAATTCACATGCGAGGGATGTAAGAAGCATCGGAAAAGATCTGATGAATCCCACACCTTTGGCCCCGACTGTCGCCACGCTGTCTCTCAGCCACGGAAGTCCTCAAAGCAACATAGGCCATTCGGTAGGGTTCCAGCGCGAGCTGAGCCAACTGCGGACCTACCAGCCGCAACCTTGGGCCAACGAGCCGAGCAAGAAGCGGAAGAGCTGGAGGCACGTGATGAAGGGCGTGCGTCTGAGCCATCAAGCTCCAGCCGGCCGCCCGATCCCGCCGATGACCTTCTTGCTCCTAGTGCGGATGAGGACCCCGGTGCCTCCGAACCGGATCAAGAACCAAGGCGCAGAGGGCCAGATCAGAGCCAGCGCGTGCGCCGCACATGGCGTGACAGTCCTGCGCAGACTCCAGCGCCGTCAGACTGGAGTTCATTTGATGTGCAGGCCACACTGCGTGGTCTTCGTCATGGCGATGAAGCCAGCCGCCGTAGACTGCTGCGCAAGCTCCACCTGCGCTGGTTCCATTGCAGTGCAGACAAAATGAAGAAACTGTTAAATGCAGCGGGGTTGGGCAAAGACATCACTGACCTAGTCGATGCCATCAACGACACCTGCAAAGTGTGCCGCCACTGGGCGCGACCCAGCCCGGACGTACGAGCCAGCAACAGGATGGTCATTGGGTTCAACATAGAGGTTGAGGGTGATTTGATGTTCTACCGGCACAAAGGGGTTCAGCACATCCTTCTTGTGCTAACTGATAGAGGTGTAAGGTGGACATCAGCATGCATAGTTGCTGATCGACAGACCCCAACTTTGTTGTCGGCCATAGACCAATCATGGATAGCTGTGTTCGGTCCTATGGGCGTGCTGTTGTTTGATGGCGAGACAGGCCTTGATGATGAAGAGTCCACAACTTATTTCCAGTTGCGTGGAATACACAAACGAACTTCAGCACCAAACCAGCACACCCGCATTGTGGATAGAAAGATTGCAGTGCTTCGCGATTCATTCCATAAGATGATGACTCAGTTGGATGACGAAGGCATCCAAGTTCCTTTCGTCCGCATAGTGTGTGATGTGGTGTACGCGCTCAACGCACTTACTAGCATCAATGGTCGATCTCCGTATGAGGCAGTGCTAGGTCGCACACCTGCCATCCTACCGGCAGAAGACATGATGTTAAGCGATGGAGTGCCAGACCACTGTTCAAGGCACACGCACCGTGTCCGAGAAATTGCAGTGCAAGCAATCGCTGAAGGAACGGCCCGTGAGAGGATCAAACGTGCCACCCACTCGCAGACGAGAGCCGCTGGCGAGGAACTCCAATTCGCATTAGGCCAGTCAGTAGATTATTGGCGCGAGCCTGCGAATAAGGACAGTTCAGGGTGGAGGGGTCCAGCAGTCATTGCCGACCTGACTCGACTAGAGCATGGTAGAATCGGCGTGCGCACTTCCACGGACCAAGTGCTGACCTGTCGCATCCAAGACGTGAGACCGAGCATTACTCTTTGGTCTGAGGAGGTCGCTGTGTTTTTCGGATCCGCAGAAGACCGCATTGCCCCAGCAGGCAGCCAAGCCAGTTATGCTCAGCATTATGTCCAAGAGTTCGTAGATAACCTAAGACCGGGTGTAGTGGTTACTCTTGGAACAGTCCGCACGGCGGATGGACGTTGGGTTGAGACGCCTCAGACAGCCACACACCGCCAACTGTATCAAGCGGCAATGTTCATTGCAGAAACCGTATTCCAGCTGACATCAGTCATTGCAGTAAGGCTCAGCCGTGCAGTGCGCACCATGACGATGCGCGAAGAGTTCGCCACAGCGCTGACATTGTGGTGGCTAGCCCCGGCGTCACGCCAACTAAACTTTCTGCACAGCGACCAGTCCAAGATCAGTGCAGTAGACATGGTGGGCCAAGAATGGCAGGCCATGCGAATGATGCAGTTTTTGGCAGTCCCCGACGAGGAAGGTTGGGCAACGGTCCAAAGGTGGTCTTCTCCAGAGCGTGAGGGCACCACGCATGATGGACAGCCCACTGAGCCAGCACCAAGCGAAGCCAGCGCACAGCAGGGACTGTCGACCATTCCGGAGGAAACAACCTCTGAGGGATCAAGCTTCTCTGCGTGGAAAGAGCTAAAGGATATGTTTGGCGACACCATCAGCGAAACCGAAGCTGAGCACCTTCGCGAGGCTTTCATAGCCTGCAGCACCGAATCAGCACCTCCACTTCCCGAAAGATCAGAGTTTGCCGAGCTCAAAAGCGCAGTAAGTCAACAAGACACAATGCCGATGACTGACAGCAACGTCGGCAGCTCATTGCCACCGGCCCTCGAGCATTTCTCTGAAGCCACGTTTGCCGCAGCAGTAGCCACCAGTGATGTCGATCCCGACAACTACACAGCACTTGACTCCGATGAAACAGGTGCATATGTAGCACTGGAAGTGTACGGCGACTTTTGCAAATGCATTGAAGGGCTCACGAGGATGCCGTATGCTAACGAGCATGTCGAGCTGCGATTTTATGAGGGCCACAGTCGCAAAGCTGTTATCGATCGCTCAGATGATCTCCTCACTGAGGCCGAGCTCCAAGCCAACGCGAAAGCCGTTACTCAAGCCATGATCGATGAACTCAAGACATGGCAAGGTTACAAGTGCTTCAAGCGTAGGAGCAGGGCCAGTGCACCGTGCATCATCGATGCAAAGTGGGTATGCAAATGGAAGTACGTTAAAGGAGAAAGGAAAATACGTGCGCGTCTTTGCTTGCGAGGCTTCAAAGAAACAGGAGCAGACAGCCAGAGCAACTTCGCGGCAACAGCATCAAGGTTTAGTCAAAGACTTCTCTCTTCAGAGTGCTCGCTACGAGGTTGGACCATTGCCTCGTCCGATGTCCCAAAAGCCTTTCTCCAAGGGGTCAGTTACAGCGAGCTGGCTGCTTCGACCCAGAAGGCTGAGAGGGATGTTAGTTTCGAGTTAACTGGGGAAGGTTTAGAGTGCCTAAAGGCCTTACCTGAGTTTGCAACCTTTGATGCGGCACGTGAAGTGTTACACTGTCTGAAACCAGGCACAGGCTGCAGGGACGCCCCAAAGTGTTTCAGCCTGCAGCTGCGCAAGGTCACAGCCGAGTTTGGCTTGAAGTGTAGCAGCGTCGATTCCGAGCTTGAATTCCTTCACAAAAATGGACTACTATTGTTAGCGATCATCAAACATGTCGATGATCTCAAAATGATAGGTGACCGTAAGAAGATTGAGGAGTTCATAGAGCACTTGTCAGCCACTTTTGGTAAAATGAGCATTGAGTGGAAAGATTTTGTGTTCTGCGGAGTGCGACACAGGCAAGCCGACGACGGCGCAGTTACTATGGATCAGATCAAGTTCTTGTCGGCATGCAAGCCCATCACGGAGCCGAGAGCCCTTACTGGCAAACCAGACACCGTGCTTGCTGAAGCCGAACGACGACATTTTATGAGTCTTCTCATGACTGTAGCATACAGTCTGCTGACGAGACCAGATGCTGCGGTCTTTGTCACAGCCCTGCAGAGAGAAAGCCATAAGGCGCAAGTGATCCATGTGAAGCGGTTGAACATGCTTCTTAAATGGTTGCAGAGCACACCGCGTGGCATCACTTACCCTGTGATTGAGTACCCAGACATGCTCCTCCAGATCTCGGATTCGTCGTATCGTGCAAAGGCGGAAGACGGACTCTCTGTCCGCGGACTCGTCAGTGTCAGAGTCCGAGCCGAAAGCATTCATGAGGGTCTTAAGATAGTACCATGCCACTTTGTCGATTGGGTGAGTAAGGCACAACGGCACGTCACTCGCTCAACATTTTCTTCAGAGCTTTTTGCGGCTACAGATGCAGTTGACAGTGGTCTTCTCAACTCAGTCACGCTACACGAATTGGCTCATGGGCCTGTCACGCCGAGTGTCGCGAGAAGCTTAATTGAAGGTACAGTTCAGGGCATGATTACTTTGGGTTTAGTAATAGATGCTAAATCGGTATCCTCCGCCGTAATCGCCCCAAATGTCAAGGTCCCAGCCGAACCATCCTTGTTGCTTCATGTTCTGTGGCTACGTGCACTGCTCAGAGCAGGCAGACTGAAGAACTTGTATTGGTCAGACACGAGAAGTATGACAGCAGATGCACTCACTAAAGGATCTGTAGGCCGTGAGCTGCTTGTCGCGGCGATGCATGGCATTCTGCAGATAGATCAGCCGTATGAGGACCAGCGGGTCGCTTGAGGCCCCGACAGCTGTGGAGCAGCAGTCGGCCGAAAAGCCATCCGACTCGTTCAGCACTTGCCAGGCATGATGTGGTGCCGCAGCGTGAACGTTCAGAAGCTCTTACTCTTCTTCGTGGAAAAGGTCCGATTGCGTGTGTTCTTTCTGCCCCTTAGGGTAGTCTCGTTGATTTTCTAGCAGGGAGAATTCAAGCCTTTTCGCAGACTCTTGGTAGTCCTATGAGCTTTCTACATTTTGCTACTCCAAGCTGGGGTCCTCTGCTGCGAAGAAGCCGGCATGTCACCACATCCCTTAAGGCCTGAAGCTACCAATCTTTATACTAGAAACCCAAGTATCCGCAAGTCTAAAGGCCCTGAACCCTGAAACAGACATTCAACTTTGAACCGTTTAGGTTTTAGGGTTTAGGGTTTAGGGTTTAGGGGCGGATATCGGAATTCGGTGGAACTGAGTCCAGAGTCTTGCAAGGTCTCTATGGTGCACTTGAGGATGCCAAGCGCTTGGCGTCAGAGCCAGAGGAGGCCTTGGTGGATTCCTTTTTTGAGCTATCTACACGTATACAAACGCTATCTATCCATCCATCCATCCGTCTGTCCATCTATCTGCTTGTCTATCTCTACATTTATCTGTCTGTCTATCTATCTGTCTGTCTATCTGTCTGTCTATCTATCTATCGATCGATCTATCTATCTAATCTATCTATCTATCTATCTATCTATCTATCTATCCTATCTATCTATCTATCTATCTATCTATCCTATCTATGTATCTATCTATCTATCTATCTATCTGTCTGTCTGTCTGTCTGTCTATCTGTATGTGTACATACTGACATACACACGTACATGCGTCCATGCATGCATACGCATCCATACACACATACACACATACACACATACACACATACACACATACACACATACACACATACATACTACATACATAAATACATACATACATGCATACATACATACATACATACATACATACATACATACATACACATATTTCTCACACTCTCCGTGTCAGTATTTGTTGTTGCCCAGCATTTGTCGATGCTCTTGTTGATAAGGTTTCTGATGCTTGGCTCTATGGTCGATCTCTGTCTGCTGTTTCAGATTTCCGGTTTAGGGCGAAGAGCTTCGGGAGTTAATCCTGTTTTGGGTTGGGGGGTCGGGTTCTCAGGCTATGAGACGAGTTGCGTACCATGCGAGCTGAAAGCTTTTGCATTTTAGCCTCTAGCGCTGACTATAACATATCGTCTTGGACAGGTGGGCGGGGACGGATAGGCTTCTATTAAGCTACAACTCGCCCCCAACTCCCTTCTCATCCCCATCGCCCGCTAGTCGTAGTGGCATGCAGTGCCTGTCTTCGGGGTAATGTGACATGCCAAAACGAACTGCAGCCACTGCTGGTCACGTCTGTGCTCTGCTACCACTATGCACTAGCTTCAACCGCCCGTTTGGTAGCCCACTTATGTATAAATACATGAATACATAATTATATACATACACACTTATCTTTCTCTCTCTCTCTCTCGACATGTATTACATCTAAGCAATATATTTGCGTTACAAAATAAACCACTTGTACTAGTACATGTGTACATACATATATATATATACTTGTACACAAATAGTGTGTATATGAAGACACATGAATGAATGCATGCATAAGGTATATGTATATTTATATGTGCAGCATGAAACTATAGTTCTTCAAGAGTTTTGCTGCGCCGTTGGCTTTCGGAAGGAAAAGTTTCGGTCACTGCGAGCAGAAACTGCCCGGCGATTTCCAGGTGCGCTCCTAAGGATTGCATCATGTAGGTTCAGGGTTCCGCAGCCTTTAAAGGACTCATTCAGGGTTTTGTTAGCGGGTTCGTGAAGGGTTTCTGCAAAAACCTTTGCTACAAGGGCCCTGAACGTTGTCGTGCGGGCTTGCTGTTTCGAGAGCACATGTGCATTCATGCTTTATTTCTGTATTCTTCCATAGTTTTCATGTTTCTTATTGGCCGTCAGGTGGTTTGTTCCAGCATCCTGATGAATGCCTGCAAACCAAGCGACCTGTGCCCCAACCCCAAAACGCAAGAGCTGCCAAGCAGCTTCGGTGAACAGTATCCTAAAATCCCTGAACCACAAAATGCGGAAGCCTCCGACGCCCTAGACCAGCAGGAGTGCACTCCCCTGCAGATGTTTGCTAGAACCCTACATGAACCTTATAGATCCCTTATGGACGTTATAGAACCCTTTAAACCCCTTACAGAGGCCCCCCGAAAACCCTTATAAAGTTGCCCTAGACCCTAAACCCTAAGGCGGTGTGCACATGCTTCCCAGCTGCCACCGAGCTCGGCTTCTGCAATGCCTTTGCCGGCGCTTTGAGGCGCGGCGCGCGCTGGAGCTCGGCTCCCCGACCCAACTGGGTTTAGGGTTTAGGGT